AGAAACAGATTCCAACCAAGATTTTTTGATCAAGTTGACAACTGTGTTTAGTAGACAGTCGATGCTTACTTGTGGAACAAGATGTAGATAACCTAACCTTCAAATTCTCATGCTTTAATCTGAATGCTTTTGTTCTTTATCTTTTAGGTATTTTCTTCTGCTGCTGCTATGTGTGTGCACATATCAGTTTTATTGAAATATAGTTTACATACTGTACATTTCAATAACTTAAAGTGTATAATACAATGTTTTTTAGTCCATTCACAGAGTCGTGTGACTATCCTCACAATTAATTTTAGAACATTTTCATCACTCCCCAAAGAAGCCCTATACCCATTTACACTAACTCCCCCATTCTCTCATCAACATCTCCAGCCCTAAATAACCAGTAATCTACTTTAAGTCTCTATAGATTTTCCTGTTCTGGACATTTTATATCAGTGAAATCATACAACATGCGGACTTTTATGATTTGGTTTCTTTCACTTGGCATCATATTTTCAAGGTTCATCCACATTGCAGCATGTATTAGTACTTTATTTATTTTTATACCCGAATACTACCTGTTATGAATATACCACATTTTATTTGCCTATGTATCAGTTGATCCACATTTTGATTGCGCTTTTTGGATATTAAAATAGTGTACAATGGAAACATATACAAGTTTTTATGTGGACATATGATTTAATTTCTCTTGGGTATACACCTGGAAGTAAAACTAATGGTCCCTGTGTTTAACATGTTGAGTAACTGTCAGCCATTTTACATTCCCAGCAGTGTTTATAAAGGTTCTAATTTCTACACATTCTTGCTCAATATACCTTGCTTATATTTTTGTTTTTTATTATAGCCATATCAGCAGTTGTGAAGTGATATAGCATTGTAATTTTGATTCAGATTTAATTGACAGCTAATAACGCTGAGCATTTTTATTATACTTGTCATTTGTGTACCTTCTCTGAAGGAATGTCTATTCAGATTTTTTTTTGTAGATGTTCTTTATCGTGTTGAGAAAGTTCTCTTCTCTTCCTAGTTTGTTGAGTTGTTTTATCCGCTATCCTTAAGGGTGCTGGGCTTTATCAAACAGTTTTTTCACATCTATTCAAATGGTCACATGATTTTGTCCTTTATTCTATTAATTTCATGTGTTATATTAATTGGTTTTCAGATGCTAAACCAATTTTGCATTTTTGGAACAAATTCCACTTGGGATGTAGTATAACCTTTTTTATTTGTTGCTGGATTTGGTCTGTAAGTACTTTTTGAGGATTTTTGCATGTATATTCATAAAACATATTGTTCTGTAGTTTTCTTGTGATATCTTTGGTTTTAGTATCAAGATAATACTAGCCTCACAGAATGAGCTGGGAAGCGTTTGCTCCTCCTCTCCACCTTTTGTGAAGAATTGGTACTAATTCTTTTCTAAATGTTTGGTATTATTAATCATTAAAGCCACCTTGGGCTGAGCTTTTTTTGTGTGGAAAATTTGAAAATTACTAATTTAAACTATTTCTCTATTATAGGTCTATTCAGATATTCTATTCTTTCTTGAGTCATCTTTAGTAGTTTGTGTCTTTCTAGGAATTTGTCAATTTTATCTAAGTTATCTAACTTATTGGCATTCAGTTTTTTGTCGTATTCCCTTGGTATCCTTTTCATTTCTTTAAAGTCTGTAGTAATGAGGCAATGTATTCTCTTCCCGGGTCCACAAGGGGGCATAGTTTTGAGAGCAAGAATCTTTCCAGCACCGTGCACCCATTACACGACATCCAGGGATTAAAGGTCCTTGTTTAAATTTTCACTCATGAGGGAAGAATGAAAGATCAATCACTCCAGCGGAAGTTTAAAGGAACTCCTTTCATAGGCGAGGGGGCTTGGAGGAAGGGTGAATTCCTCCCAGGTTAAAAGTCCCTGTCCCCCATATTCACCCAGATTCCATATTTGGGTCCCCTTCCACAATTTTCATGGAAGCTTTCCCTCTCTCATTTTTTTCTCTCTCCTTTTTCTCTTTCTCTGCCTAAATAAATCACTTTCTGCAAAAACTCTTTGGGGTTTGATATTTACTTGCAAGCGCACTGCACCCAGTGTGGTCCCCTCTCCCATTCTTGGGTGAGTGAGAGACCAAGAGCCTGGAGCCCACCAGGGAGCGAGCCAAGCCTCCCCTGCACCCTGGGTCCTAGAAACAGTAATGTTCCCCCTTTCATTCTTGATTTTAATAACTTGAGCCTTCTCTCTTTTCTTGCTCATCCTTCTGAAAAGTTTGCCAATTTTGTTGATCTTTTCAAAGAACCAACTTTTAGATTTGTTTATTCTACCTACTGTTTTTGTATTCTCTCCTTTATTTTTAACTTTATGTTTTATTGGTTCTTTCCTTCTGCTCACTTCAGGTTTAGTTGCTTTTCTTCCTTTAGAATTGTATGATACAAGATTAGGCTTATTTATATGAGCCCTTACTTCTTTTTTAGATACAAACATTTGAACATTAAATTCCCCTTTATGTACCACTTCACTGCATTCAATACGTTTTTGTGTGTTGGGCCATCATTCTACATAATCTTGAAGTATTTTCTAATGGACTTTGTAATTTCTTCCTTGTTTCATTATTTAACAGTATGGTGTTTCCCTCTGTTATTTATAGGTTCCGTATTATTAGCAAATAATTGTTATCACTAAAGTATCTATTTTTTCACTGCTAGTCATTCCTTGGATTGATATTAATAAATACCCACAATTTGCTTACAATTTGGCAAAAAAAAATGCCATAAACTGACTGTTAGTTTTGTACACAATTTCCTTTGGATTCTACCCAGTTTACTTTGATACTCTTGCCATGAAACCAAATGGTATCATAGACACAACCTCTGTAGCACATTTTAGGTGGCAAACACTGTCACAGAACACAATGCCAAAACTCCAAAATTGCTATCACAGCACACCTAACAGGGGTTGTCCTTTTCTCCTGTGAAAGGAAAATAAAACCTTGGGACCTCAAACTCACTATGCCAAAGGGAAAGTTAAGCTTGGGAACTGAGTCATGCAAAAAACTGCCTTCCTTTTTTCCCCAAACAACTGTAATTTCACTGCTTACTTTAGGTAAATTGCAGATTTACTAAGCATGAGAACAGTGCTTCAGTGACTTTTTCCTCTACTACCTTCTTTGCACTGGTAAAACATAGACTCACCGAGTGCTTATCAAACCTCACAAGAATGTAACCAACTTGCCTCGTTGCCTATACTGCCTCTTTCTCCACCCCCTTGCTCTTTCTTGTTTAAATATTGGAGTTCCCAAAACCCTGTTTGGGAAATACATGGATCACAGATCAATCCTACAGTAACTTGTGTTTCTGTTTCCTAAGTGTGTCCCCAACCTTGAAAAAATAAACCTCTAGTCAATTGAGATCTGCCTCAGTCACTTACTGGTTTACGTTTTTGCAACCACAAAGGAATTATTTGAGTGGAGTTGGGCCCTGGCCTGCAGCCACTCTCCTATCAGGGCCCTGGTACCAGCAGAAGCTCTTTATCAGTTTGACCAATTGGACAATTTGCCAAGGTCTGGAGGCTTCTTCCTCCAGAGATTGCTGATCTCACAAACATTTTTGGTTGAGATCTGAGGTTTACTCTGCTGAAGAACTCCTTTTCTTTTTCTTTCTTTCTTTTCTTTTCCTTTTCTTTTTTTTTTTGAGACGGAGTCTCGCTCTGTCCCCAGGCTGGAGTGCAGTGGCTTGATCTCGGCTCACTGCAACCTCCACCTCCTGAGTTCAAGTGATTCTTCTGCCTTAGCCTCCCAAGTAGCTGGGACTACAAGCGCACACGCCACCATGCCGGGCTAAATTTTGTATTTTTAGTAGCGATGAGGTTTCACCATGTTGGCCAGGATGTTCTCAATCTCTTAACCTTGTGATCTGCCTGCCTCAGCCTCCCAAAGTGCCGGGATTACAGGAGTAAGCCACCGCGCCCAGCTAGAACGCCTTCTCTTAGAGTTTACTGCTTCTATAATGAAGAGAAATCTTCAACTTGGGCCCCTTCTCCAGATAAGGAACTCATTTGGGGTTTCATTTTGGGATTCGGTAGCTGAAGATCAAGGTTTACTAATAGCTGGCTCTGACCTCTTCTTCTGCTCAGAGATCTTGACTATATTTAAATTATGTGATCACTTTCTTAGTTTTTTGTTTTTTTACTACCTGAGAGGTTTTATTTACATGACAAGGCTGCTTTCCCAGCCTCTTTCTCTGTGCTATTAAAATTTTAGAGAGATCTTATTCTAAGCAAGTAATGAAAAGAACAGGTTTTGAAAAGGACACATAGTAGTGTCACAGCCAGTCTTAAAAATTATCTTGATAAAACTAAGAGCAAAGTATATGGCCTAAAATAGATCTGGTAGTTAAAATTCTATGTCTTAGGTTTGCTTCCTCAACAGGGAACAACAAAGATCAGGTCACTCCACCTTGTGGGCTAATAGTTAAAATTCTCCACTTTTACCTGCACAGCATGGGTTTGATTCCTGTCAGGGAACTAGCCCCTCTTGGTTTGATATTTATGTATTTTGGGGTACCAATTTATTATTTGTAATTTCTTCTTCTTTGGACGGCTTTGATTTCCTGTCTTCTTCCATCTGTAGAGGGCATGCAAGGATTTTGGGCCTTTGTGTGTCAGTGGTCAGCTGAGAATCTAAGACCCTAGATAATACGGCCTGACAGAAGTGTGTATTATGCCCCATTCATAGCTAGCCAATTTTCCTACTGTGAGCTGTCTTTGGGATGATCCTGGATCTTGTAAAAAACTGCATGCCACCTCTTTGTAGATAACTCATGTGCCCATGATTAAGTCATAATGTTTGTTAAGGCACATGGGAAGATACCTTTTGGTAAAGAAATTCAAAAGCCAGAAATATCAACTGTTGGTTGTAGGTAAAATCTGGTAAAAAGAGATTTGAAAGAATTTTTCTAAAAAGAACTTTATTGCCACAAGTTAATTTAATTCGTAAACTAAAAATTGTTCCTGAGACAAGTCTTAATCAATGTAGATGTTCATTTTGCCAAGATGTTCAGGGAGACAAGTCTGTGCCTTTCTGCAAAGGTGATTATGAGGGCTTCAATATTTAAAGGGAAAAAGCATGCTGGAGGGAAATGAGGGAGGGTATGATCACATTACTCTATCTGCACGTTGCAGGAGAAAGGGAGCAGGCAGGGGAATAGTCAAGTATTCTTCTCATGCCCAGTAAATCAGCATTTTACATAAGATAAGGTGAACTTAGAGTAGCTACCTGGGGAGATATTTACCTTTTAGCTGTAGCTCTCTGCTTAAGAAAAAAGGAAAAGGCAGCTTCTTGCATGACACAGCTTAATGCTTAATTTTTTCCTTTTAATCAGTGAATTGGGGTCCCAAATTTTTATTTTCCTTTCACATTTCTCCTCCCAAACTTTAAAAAAATCTTTTGGAGAAAGCCTGTTAGAAAAAAAAATGAGTCTTTCCTCTTGGATCCTGTCTAATCTCTCATGGCTAGGACATGAGATGAATAGGTCCCATGTGGTTAGGAAAACTCATTTTAGCAGGTTGTGAAATCTCATGTCTTACAAAGCAAAAAAGAGAGGGAGAAATAAAACAAACAAGCAAAAAAGAGAAACAACCTTGAAAACGAATATAGGCCATATTACTCTGAAGTCCCTGAAAATGGTTTATGTATATAAATAGGTTGCAGTTATTTTCTTCTGAAATTTAAATTGTCTAGCTACAGTTCTCAGGGCATTAAGGAAAGCATGGCTTAATTTTCATTGATTTCAAATCAGGAAAAATGGGGTAAAATGAACAGAAAGAAGGAAAAAATTGAAAATGCTATTTTGGAGACTTGCAACCAGGGAAAATTTTAGAATTCAGTCCAAATTGTAGAAAATTATAAAAATTTAAAAACATTAGGTAAGGCTAGACTTTAGAAACAGGTATACTGTGGTTCATTTTGAAAGATGATTTTTCTCTCCCCAATTCCCCAATTTTAAAAAGACAAAATCATAGTAGAGCCAGTATATTTGTAAAATAAATTTTAGTCCCATTAAACATGGCTTGATTAGATGCATACAGTGCAGCAAGAATAATCATTTTCCCTATAAGCTCTCTTTAAGAAAAACATGGCTTTGCTGGAACCATTTTCATAAGGAGTCTAGGGTTAGACCTCATTATAATCCTCGAGCCCAGCCAAGGATTTAAATGTGGCTGCAGATCCTGTGTGAATTGGGTGAATCCTTTCTTTTCAAGGTCCCAAGGCAGTCGTGGGACTGTCAGAAAGTGACATTGTTTACTTATCACAGGTCAGAACCCTGAAAAGGACAAGGTATGGGGCCAGTTTTTCTAAGGGGCTTTTATCAGCTCTGTATGTCAACATTTTCTCAAGAGTGTCTGAAAATGTCATTCTGGTCAAAGCCCTGGTAAAATAACCAGTGTCTCCAATTATGCCATCTTATAATAAAAAAGAGATTGTTTCTAAACTTATGCAAATAACTATATTGTCATATATTAAGCATAATACAAAATAGTTTCTAAGTTTAGAGAAACTGAGAGTAGGAAATTATATTTTAAATTTTGCTTATAAGAGTATACTTTAGTCAGGCTGGGCATAGTGGCTCTCACCTGTAATCCCAGCACTTTTAGAAGCCAAGGTGGTCAGATCACTTAAGGTCAGGATTTTGAGACCAGCCTGGACAAAATGGTGAAACTGATCTTTACTACAAATACAAAAATTAGCTGGGTATAGTGGCGGGCACCTGTAATCCCAGCTACTACAGAGACTGAAGTGGGAGGATAACTTGAACCTGGGAGGCAGAGGTTGCAGTGGGCCGAGATTGTGCCACTGCACTCCAGCCTAGGCAACAGAGCGAGACTCTGTCTCAATCAATCTATATATGTACTTTACTCAGTTTTTAAAAGCTAAAAAACAAAACAAAACAAATCAGCAAATGTTTTAAACAAAGAGTTATAAAAGATTATTTTAATTGTCTGTTAGTTCAGTCCATGCAATTAACTTCTGGTCAATATTGGATCAGCAATCCTCATGAATACATCAGCTCTCCATGGGAGTCCTGGAAGGCTTTCTCTCCATTTCAAGGTCTCCAATGTGAATTCCACAGAGTTCTATAGCTGATCACAAACCACACTATGAAAGGATCAAAGTAAATCAACAATTGCAAATGACAAAAGTTGTTGAGCAGCCATGGTTACAGACACAACTGACAAGGAAATTTGGTTATTTCTGTGGCATACAACAATTTTACACATAATAATCATAATTACTACTGATAACATATATTGAGACACATCAGAATCACAGGAATATCCTACAATTTTAGAACACACACTAATAACATATTAATATAAATATAACCCAAAGTAGGTTAAACACCATTTCATATTCGACAATCCTTCTTGCGTAATTTTTACTCTTAATGGAAAATAAGCCATATATATAAGTTTTGGACTTCAGGGGACCTAATGTGAAAAAATTAATGAAGTCAAAAGGACTTAATTTAGTATTTGATTGTAGAAAGCTTGTCAAATATAAAAAGTTTAAAACACATGACATCACAAAATAGGATCATGGGTCATTGAAAAATGAGTCATTCATTTACCCAAAATGATAAGTCAAAGATTTTTTTTTTAAAAAGGTCAAAACCTTTATACTTTGAGACAGGTGACTTAATTTCCCAAGCAGTAAGCTCTAATAAAGACAGCATGAGGCCAAAACCAATTAAATATGTCTCCCAAGTCTTATAAATAAATCTAAACTTTAAACGTCTTGACTATAAGATATAATTCAATAAACCCTTTTGTAACCTTTCATATATTTTTTTAAAAAGTAGATTAATGCTCTACAAAAGCCTTATTAATCTGATACAGGGCCCAGATGCTGGTCTTGCATCAGTACCTTTGATATTAATCTTTAATTTATAGATAAATTGTTTCATATAAAAATTTAAAGCCAAACCACAGAATGTTATACTGGAAGAAAATATTTCCTTTATAACTTTAAGATAAAACATTTTAGCATCAGGCCACAACAGCAGTTAAAACCTAAAGAAAAAATTTACAGGAGCTTACAAAAAATTGAAAGAGAGAGTTATCATCACCATCCTTCTGAAAGGTGAGAGAGCTAAAAACAATGAAATGCAATATAAATTGAACGTCTGGTTTAAAAACAAATGAAAATATCTTGTAATTTCATTAAAAATAAATCAATACCTTAAGAAAATTTTGTTGTTCTAACCAATTCTTTAGTGTATTAGTGTATTTTTAATATCATAGCTCAATCTCTAGAAAGTCTGTTATAAATAATTTCCTTTTCATTATAGTCAACTTGATCACAAAAAGTTTTTTTCACATAAATCCTCTTTTTTAAAAATAATCCTTATTATGACATACACAAACCACCTATGACATGCTTGAACTTCCTGTTTTATGCCAAACATCCCTCTTTCCTAAATAACCAATCATTTTATTTTAGGACATAAATTTACCATACAAGATTCTTTCTCATATAAAATAATTTTCTTTTTAATCTTTTCTTACCAAAATACTTCTTTATATTTGTAACTTTCTTTATATCTTTCCTGTTTACTGGTTCCTTTTATCCTGTTTCATAAATAACCTTTAAATTAGACAAATATCATTTTCCTTTAAGAACAGACTTTTTAAGAAAAATATTTTCCCATAATATAATTTTAACAAAATTGTGAATGACTCAGATATTTAATGAGTATCTATTATTTAATTTAACATAACTTTAGATTCCAAATTATATGACAAGTTTATTTACAAGCATTTATTTTATTATCTTTACCTAATTAATTTTTAAAATAAATTAACTAGACTACTTGTTAAAAATGTGTTAGTCATTATTTAATGTTATTTCCCTGTTAACTGTTTTTACATTTTGTGAATTTCTGGTGTTTACCTTAGTAAGAATCTTCAGGTTAAATAAATGTGTGTGTGTTTTTTTGATAACTCAGGATTTAGCTGTTTTCATTAAATCAACAATATTAAATGCCCTATTTATCAAAAAATTACACCAACAAATATAATACTCCTTTGGGCTACATTTCTAGCTTTATAATCCTCATGCCAAATTTTGACACCTTATAATATCTAGTAAAGGTAAACATTAAACTGCCTGACCAATCACTCTAAACAACAATGTATGTTGACAATGCTGAAGAGACTTCTATTTTACCAATAACTTTAAAGACAGCTTATTTATTAAGAATTTACTTAAGTTACATAAACTTGAAAAAGCATTTGGGCTTAAGGTCTCTATTTTTCTATAAAGTATATTATTTAAGCCTTTTTCTTCCTTTAAGGCCAAATAATTAGAGCTGTTTTATATAGTTTTGCTAATGAAATATATACATTGTATATAAATATATAGATACATTAGACACATAGAAATAGGCCTTATAGAATCATAAGAACTGCTTCTTTTTATCCCTCCTATTTTAGACTTCAAAATATTTTTTTCTAAGATGGAGTCTCACTCTGTTGCCCAGGCTGGAGTGCATGGCATGATCTTGGCTCACTGCAACCTCTGCCTCCTGAGTTTAAGCATTCTCCTGCCTCAGCCACTGAGTAGTTGGAATTGCAGGCAAATACCACCACTCTCAGGTAATTTTTGTATTTTTAGTAGAGATTTTTGTATTTTACATCCTGACCAGGCTGGTCTTAAACTCCTGGCCTTAAGTGATCCACCAGCCTTGGCCTCCAAAAGGGCTTGGATTACAGGCATGAGCCACCTTGCCTGCCTCCAATTTCTTGATAATTTGTTTCATTACCCTAGGCAATTGTCAGATAACTAGGCCTAAATTTGTTTACCTAAGGAACAAATCTCAGGTGAAAAATCAGCAAAACTTGCTTCTCAAAATACAGAGAGAAAAAGAGAGAATCTGGTGTGTTAACAGAGTGATTCAAAATGGATACCAAGTCAAACATAAAATTACAGAAGTCTTCCAGAAGATTGTATAAGGAGACCAATTGCACTTAAGTAGTTTTAGATGTAGTCTCTATTTAACTGGATCTCTGAGCTCTGAGCAGAGCCCACATTGAATCCTGGGTCTCCAAAAAGAGAGAGAAATCCTGGGACTAGGCCACATAATGCTTTCACAGTGTACTTTGTTACAGAGATGTTGCTCTGAGTGTCTAAGCACCCTTTCTCATCCTAAACACCCAAGAGTAGTCCCTGTAATAATAACTATTTTAGTTAAAAAAAAATCAGGAAACAGAATACAAAAGCAAGCAGTTTAAGATCTGAGAGGACCTTGTTTGTTCTTACTCTTGGGGTTCCATAAGGAAAAACAGAGGTTCACCCCCCACCAAAAAAAAGTCTGGCACCTTCTCTGTTTTCTTTAAGGAATCCCAGCTGCAATTTCTTGATAATTGGTTTCATTACCATTGTTAAAATTATTTCCAGTGCCTCATGCAGCAGAGGGTGGAAAGAGAAAGGAGAGGCAGGCAGAAGTAAAGAGAAAAAGCAGAATTCAGTTGAGTGAGAAGAGAAAAACTTTTTTTATTCGAAAACACAACCCTAGGAGAAGGAAAAAAGGTGTGAAGACCTTTTAAATACACACACACACACAAACATACAGAAACAAATTGTGGATAGTGTCTTTTAATCAAGCTGCCTTTTAACTATTGAGGTCTTAAAAATATGCTTTTAAATACTGTTACCATATTCTAGCTGGCACAAGCTGCTGATATTTCAAAAGTAAAACAAATATCAAACCAGAAAGGACTTCATTTAGGAATCAATGCAGGCTATAACAGTGAAAAAAGCACAGAATCGTTGCTGCTGAACTACAGCATAGGGTGACTGCCATTGCTCCTAAAGTTTAGCTTTGTTAGCAGAGGTAGCCTTGCCATGTAAATAAAGCCACTCAGGTAATTGAAATG